CCATGATCGCTTTGTTTAACAAGCTGCTGGACTGGTTCAAGGCCCTGTTCTGGAAGGAGGAAATGGAGCTCACGCTGGTGGGGCTGCAGTACTCGGGCAAGACCACCTTCGTCAACGTGATCGCGGTACGAGCGAGGGCAGATGTGTCAGCCCGCGCCGCGCCCTGGGCAACCCGAGTCGCCACCTGGCGTGGCCGGGTACCGCCGTCACCCGGCAGGGAGGAGCCGGCTCCGGGCGCTTGGGGCCTAGCACGGTTCTTGGGGGACCAGCTGGCGTGCTACCCGTTCTCAGGCCTGGGCTGGGATGGCAGGGCTGGGGGCGGGGGAGCGAGGACGAGGGGACGAGAGCTGGAGTTCCGGGGCTGGAGGCACCCAGAGGTCTCCGGGCACCCGGAACCCGCCGCAGGCTGACAGGCCCCCGTGGATCGCGCACAGGGGGGCATGACAGGGCGAAAGTGGCCGGGCCTTCCCGCTCGGCGCGTGGAGGGTCACGGGACGCGCGTCCCGGAGCGTGGTACCAGGGGGCCCTCCCAGCCCAGCCCCACCCCGAGGGCTCTGTCTCCCCCTTGCTGGACGCGGAAGCCCCGGCTCATTTGGGCGGGGGGAAGGTATCCCTAGAGGCTGAGGAGTCAGCTGAGGTCTTGACTCTAACCCAGACTCCTCCCCCCGAACCTGTCCCGGGGCTGCGGTATCGCCAGGGTCCAGGAAGGGTGGCACCATAAAGGGAGTTGGGAGACTCCGCTTGGCTCAGAAGTTGCAAGAGTCGGTACTGTGGACCCGAGAGGATGAGCTGGAGGGGCGCCATCCACCTGGAGATGGGCGAGAGAGCCGCTCTGAGGGCTTTGGGGAGTCAGGCCTGGGGGGTGGGGTGACTGCAGTTGTATGTCTGTGCCAGAGGAATGGTGGAGAAGGAGTTAAATTTTCTCTTTAAAAAAAGAGGAAGATGAGCTCCCTGGGTGTGTGAGCTGAGCTGCAGTAATGGCTGCAGCCTGTATTTCAAAGCTAGGCAGGACTGGGCTTTGGGGACCCGGGAAAGCTTGGGACAGGGGCATAGTTTTTCTCCAAACCTAGCCCCATTCCCAAAGATGGGTTTTTCAAGAGAACTGTGAATTAGCCAGATACAGGTTAAAAAAAAAAAATGATGATGATGATGTGTAGGTCTGCAAAGGTGTGTGGCCAGCCAGCTTCGGTACCGCCGCTTGACTGTATGGTATTGTTGCCCAACCTTGAAGCCCCACAGGGCTCAGCATCCTTGCTGGAGAGCCCTTTAGAGGGGCTATTAGTATATCGGGAAGCTGGAAGGCTGGATGGATTTGGGACTTGATGGACTGGGCATGGGCACTCGCTCTCTCTCCCCTAACCATGCTCTGCCATTGACCTCTATACCCTCCTCTACCCAGCGTCCCTTTTTATTCCACAGGACCTCTGCTGAGGTTTGGGGCAGAATGTTTTTCTGAACTAACACGGGTCCCTGGCTTCCTGCCTGCCATGCTGTGTCCTTGGGATCAGAAACCCTGGTTAGTCTTGGTGTTGACTTGCCTCTTAGGCTATCAGCAGGAAATCAACACCTGGATTTCCACCTGTCTCTGCAGACCTAGGTGGCTTGGTTTGGGGGCATTTAG